ATTGCGCTCCCTGCTTGCGTATGCAGGACGAGTCGTAAGAGAGCAAAGACGGCTCCCCACTAAGAGTTGGTGCGGGGAAGAGGCGGAGAATCTGCGAAGACAGATTGTCAGCGATTTCATCCTTATCCTCCGAGGAAATTAACGAAAAAAGACGGGAAATGAACGAGAGAAAGGAAGGGAAACACGAAACACACCTCATCGATCCGCCCTGAGCCAACCGAGGCATACCTCCCACAAAGCCACGCACGCGCCTCGCGCACGCTCACACTTAATCTCTCCCAATCGAGCGTAGGGTCGCTTGGGTCGACTTCTGCAAGGTCTGCGAGGGAGGTGGTGAAGAGGGTGTATTCTGCGTCGCTCAGTGCGGACGGGTGGAGGGACAGTCGCCGGGAGGACATGGTGGAGGGAGCAGAGTGGAGTCGGCGCGTAAAAAGTAAGCGGGATGCCGTCAGCGGCGCGGCGCACACGTGGGCATCATGTGAGCAAGTGCAAGTCGCCGCTCGCGTAAACGGCGTTTGGCCGCGTCGCTTTTTCAGTATCGACTGTGGTTCAGACTAGAGACAGAAGAAGAAGAAAGACGACTTCTCCGATTATAACCCGGCCTGGAGTCGAACCAGGAATCCACCGGAAACTGATCAACTATCTGACATCGTTCGTTGATGCGGACCACACCGCTCCAGGTCTTATTTACATCGTGTAGCGAGCTGGTGATATTCTGAGTCGTGCAGTCCGTGAATCAATCTAGTTACAGTTATCATTCAACTCCCATGCTGTCTGGTCTCGACACATGGACACTGCGGGGGAAAAAAACTCTCACTGAGAACATATGACCTGGCCTTGAGTCGAACAAGGGACCCCAAATAAGTTACACTTTCAAGGCCTATGAATTTTGGGTGCGGGCCACTCCGCTCCAGGTCTTATTTATCATAAGAATGGTAGTATTTGTATTGCATCTGTGCAGGCTGTACTGTAACCTTTCGGTTTCTCCCAAGTCGACCGAGCCAATAGTACGCTCTGATGCCTGCCATGTTCATGATCGTCTAACCACAAGTTTCTTGGCCTTACCCCTTCTAGCCGGACCAAGAATACGCATTAACAGCTCAAGTAACAGGGTGAGAACTTACCACGAAAAATCGGAAAAAAGAATTCATACGCAGGTGGTATGACTTGGCTTTGAGTCGAACAAGGGACCCCACATAAGTTTCGTATTCGCTCAAGCAAAGGTTATGAATTGTGGGTGCGGGCCACTCCGCTCCAAGTCTTATTTTCATCTTGTTCTGAACCCCGATAACTAACCATGGCAGATCTCTGTTCCATCGGCTGGTAACTTTTCAATTTCTTGCGAGTCCATCCATCAACTAGTGGCCGATAGCTGCAGATCAAGCCTGCAAATTCCATTATGATTTAACGTTTAACCTCAACCACATCCAAGTCTCAGGGCATGGAGGCCTTCTAGGCGGACCAGGAATATGCAAAACAACTAACAACAGGGTGCGAACCCATCAGGAAAATTCAGAAAAAGAAGAATATTGTCTACTGTCACTGAATGAGCCAGCCTTGAGTCGAACAAGGGATAGCACGTGCTGACATAGGGGAAGAAGGCACATTTCGTGGGTGCGGACTATTCCGCGCCAGGTCTTGTTCTCAGCATATCCACATTCCTAAAGATACCAGCTTTCTTGTTCCATCTGCATAGTCGGTCGTCAAAGATTGGTTATTTTCCAGTTCACTCTGCCGCGGTCAAGGCTTCATTGACATTACCGATCATTCAACCCTATATTACTGGCCGGTCTTGGCACACTGTGAATACCGCGAAAAAAAAGGAAACGTCGGATTCATGACCTAGCCTTGAGTCGAACAAGGGACCTCACATAACAGTGAAATTCTGGACTATGAATTGTGAGTGCGGGCCACTCCGCTCCAGGTCTCATGCACATAATGTTCTGAGCCCAATACATAATGATGGTGTTATTTCTATTACATTGGCTAGTAATCTTTCAGCTTCTTGCGAGTCCATCCATTACTATTTCGCAATGGCTGCCACTCTTTCAAATTCATCCAGATTCAAGTTTCCTGGCCTTGAGCGCTTCTAGGCGGCCCAGGAGTATACAAAACAACTAACAAACAAGGTACGAATCCGCCAGAAAAAATGGGAATGATGTCCACCGAATGACCTGGCAGCGGCTTTGAGTTGAATAAGGGACACCATGTGCTGACATTAGCTTCTTCCGCACAGTTTGTGGGTGCGGGCCACTCCGCTCCAGGTCTCATTCTCGCCATATTTACGATCCCAAACACACTAGCATTCTTGATCCATCTGCATAGTCGGTTATTTCAGCAAGAACGCTGGGGGTATTTCATAAGAACGTGAGGGAAAAACACCATGTGTACATGTACAACTGAAAGCTTTGTTTCATTATTTAAATGCCGAAATCAGAAAGTTCGGGCGAGATCCCAGAACTCGCGTTTTCGAGCAAGCCAGGACCGTTCCCACGGTTAAACCTTGTTTCAAATTTGCAGCCCAATAAAAGAATTCAAGTGCAACAATAGTGTCTGATTTCTTCTAGGGCTTCTGACGAAAGGTTCCTTTTCCATTCATAATGTTTCCTTTCACAATGTTAACATCAAGTATCTGGGGAAGATAAGCAAGACGCTGAGGTTCATGGGGTAGAACACTCCGCTTAAGGCCTCATTCTCAGCTTATTTGGGACTCTGATAGGTGTGCCAGATGTAAAGCTTTCTGGTTGTCTTATTTTTCTGTTCGAAGTCGGGCTGCGTCTAGAGGTAAGAGCGTTTATATATATACGGGTCACTAGGCTGAGCCTAGTGAGGTTCAATTTCGAGTCAAATGACGACTCTGTGTTGGTTTTTCATTGACTAGGTTTCAAAAATGCAGCCACAAACTAGACTGGAAAAGGAAAAGAATGCAAAAGCTGATGGCCTCGATATGACCCTGGCATTGAACCAGGGAGCCCACCTAAAGATGTTGCATGCAGTCGCCCTCATGATTCGTGGTTGCGGACTACTCTGGACAAGTTCTTTCCGTTAGTTCATCTTGAAATTAATGCTCGAATTGAAGTTGGAAGGAACAGATGTATTGTCCCGTCAAGGTTCGAGCGACGCTGTGTTGGGTTGGGGTAGTACCCACCTTCGTCACTTCGTTACTTCGCTTAAGTTTGCGAAGTTTCGTCACTTTGATGGAATGTTCTGAAAGTTCGTCACTTTGGTGAGTTTGCGGGAAAGTTCGTGAGATGTACAAATTAAACGCATCAGTCCGGCCATCACTTCCTCCTCCATTTTTTCCGTGTAGATACCTTACCTTAACACTGACCACTAACCTGAACCACTAACCTCTAACCTCTAATCCTTAACCTCCAACCACTAACCTCTAACCATGATCAGCTAACCCGAACCGCTAACCTCTAACCTCTAACTACCCAACGCGAACCTAACCGGCCAGGCGCGGCGAGCTGTTGATCCCCATCACTTTGTGATGTGCCGAGGAGTTGCCGCTTCACAAGCCCAGGATACCAAATCACGAACTTTCACAGAAAGCGATGAAAATCACGTACTTTCACGAATTCCCATCAAAGTGACGAAGTTTCGCAACGCTAAGCGAATTAACTAAGTGACGAAGATGGCGCGGACTCGTTGCGTTGTGCGATTCGCAAAGCCTCGATGTTCGGGCGACAAGGGGCGCTGGCAATATTGAAGGCCTGGCCAGTCCATACAGGCAAGCCAAGACAGTCAAAAATTTGCCAAATTTTGATAAAGAATCATGGCCCAGCCCGGAATCGAACCAGGAATCCCACGTGTCATTGGTCTGGATGGGCCTCATGGATCGTGGACGCGGACCACTCCACTCCGAGTCTTATCCTGAGCTATGTACATAGCTTGGGAGGAATGTACATGCTCTTTGCGCTCGCTTCTGAAGGAAGGTCGAGGCAATTTCTTGGTTGAGGCCGTAGGCTTCAATGCGGCACAAACAAATAGGTACTGGTATTTTTTTGCGGTCTTCCTGCACACCAGGACCAACAGAACTAGGAAAATAAAACAGAATATAAAGCGACCAAAGAAAAAGCCCGAACAAAGCGTGATGATCCAGCATGGAGTCGAACCATGGATCCCATGTATTCACAGAACTCATTGATGATAGGAATGGGTGCGGCCCACCCCACTCAGGGTCTAAGATCCTGAGGAAGTGAGGCATCTTCAAGGCAAACCGGTCTATTCCTCCATGTTACGGCTGAGTCAGGAGCTATTCCCGCCTCAGTCGAATCCATAAGAAGATTCAAGGTTTCAGCATCCGATACAAAAACTGTGCTTGTACCTTTTCCATTTCAATAATCATATGATTCTCCGGCCCGACACATTGAAACCACACCAGACAGGAAAACCAATAAAAGATGGGTTGGCCAAAGCATGGGCATGACCCAGCCTGGAGTCGCACCAGGGCTCCCACGGTCGCCTACCAAGACAACTCAGCATGGTTTGTGGTTGCGGATCGCTCCGCTCTAGGCCGCATTTTTCCGGGTATATTGTCCCGTTTGCAGTTGAGTCAGGTTACAGCACGCGTGAGGTTCGAGGTTCAATCCGGGGGACAAGGGTACACTGGTATTTCTCATTCATTTTTTGCGGCTCTGTCTTGGAGCCATCCCATACAAGCAGAAAAAATAAATCCAATACAGTTGAAAATTAAAATTAGGTAAATCTGCAAGATCCATGACACAGCCTGGAATCGAACCAGGGACATTCCCATACTCTTTGCATGCGATGTGGGTGCAGACCACTCCACTCTGGATCCCGATGAGTATGCCCATTTCCAGTCGAGTCGGGAGGAACGTCAAGGTTCGAGGGCTCACCGGCTCATCAAAAAGGGAATGCAGCTATTTTAGATCATAGACGACCACGCCTAATACCGACAGCACTATCCATAAAATGACCCAAAATAGAAACCAACAGAAAAGAAAAGGAAAAGGTGCCAATAGAGACAAAGGCCATGACCCAGCCTGGAGTTGAACCAGGACACCCACACACTTCATCATGGAATGTGTGCGCATGGACCACTCCGCTCCGAGTCTCTTTCTTGTGATCAGCTGAACATGTTGTCGAAACCGGTACTTTCGGCTGCACTTTCAGCTGATTACTTGATATGGTCTATCTCATCTTATCGGATTACCCGAGATGGTTTAGTGCATGTCACGTGCTGATGGGTTTCAGAAAAGAATGAAGCAACAGGTTCACCTGATCACCTGATCAGCTGAATATTCACTTTTGCTGGTGTGGGGGTCAAGGTTGTGTGGCGGAGCGAAAAAGGATAAAGGAAAATATGGCCCAACCCACCACCAAAAGGTGCGCAAACCACAGTGAAGATGGGAATTTGGAATTATTGCGAACCTTACACCATCAACCGGAAATCGTGCTGAGGAAAATACAGATGGACGGTTCCCATGACGACGAGCAACATCCCAGCGGCCGTAGATGAAAACTCAAGGATGAAGGGCAAAACTTGTAAGGGCAACCTCAGCTCGGCGCAGAGCGCGGGAGACTAGCGGGAGAATCCGAAGCAACTCAATTGAATGGTACTAAATACAGGTTTCTAGAATACGCACCTAGCGGGAGAATCCGAAGAGAAGAAAGGATGAGGATTCTCACGCTAGGCGAGGTTTTTTAAGTACTAGCCAGTAGCACGTGTCCGGAGGGATCGGCAGAGGTCTCGAGCTTGATCACACAGCACGTGCCAGTGAGAGCGGCCGGACGGACGGAAGGGAACAGAGTCCGGAGGGACGGGAGGTGACGTTCCGGATGGAGGCGCAGGCTGGGGTGCGAGTCCGGAGGCCGGACGAAGGATCGGACGAGGAAGCGGGGCAGTGCGATGGGCCGGAGCCGGACGGACGGACGGATGGACGGACGGACGGGCGGTTCCCCTGACATCACCCCCCCCTTGGAATGCGGCGTCCCGACGCATGAATCGGACCTGGGCGTCGCGCCTCCGGAACGAGAGCGAGTCGAAAGCGGCCGAGGCGATCCGGCGCGGGGCGTTGGGGTAGCGGCGATAGTAGGCCTCGATGGCGTCTCGAGCGAAGACGTCGGAGTGCTTTACCCATTTATTGTGTTCCGGGCCGTAGCCTTTCCACCGCACCATGTACCAGAGGCTGCCATAACGGACCTTCGCTTCTAGGATCTCCTCGACCTCCCATTGAACGTCGTCGTCCGTCTGAAGGACGGGTGGGGGTTCGTCGTTCCGGGGGCATCCGGGGAACGGGTCCGGTTCCGCGAGCTGGAGTTTCACCACCGGAAAGACCGGGTGGAGCTGGGAGTACCGGGGGGGAGCTCGAGCTTGTACGCACCCTTTCCGACAACCTTCACGACCTTGAAGGGGCCGAGGCGTTTGTCCGCGAATTTGACGGACGGACGGGTCGTCCGGATGTCGGAGGCGTCTAGCCAGACTCGGTCGCCTACTTTGATCTCCGGGGCGGGCGTGCGTCGGCGATCGTAGTACAGCTTGAACTCGTCTTTGGCCTTAACGAGCGCGGCCTTGGCTTCCGAGACTCCGGACGCGATCCGGTCGCGGAACTCGTTCGCGGATTCCACGTTCGAGCGCAGTCCGTTGGGCTCAAATCCCATCCGGGGGAGCCTTCCGGTGTCCGTCATGAACGGGACTTGCTGCGTCGAGGAGTGGACGTGGTTGTTGTACGCGAACTCCGCGGCCGGGAGGAGCTCGTCCCAGTCGTCTTGTTTGTAGTTCGTGAAGATCCGGACGAACTGCTCGAGTTCCTGATTGACGCGTTCGGTCTGGCCATCGGTCTGCGGGTGGTAGGTGGTGGAGGTCGCTGGTTCTATCCCGATGAGGCGCCACAGTTCCGTGGTGAACTCCGCGACGAACTGCGGCCCACGGTCGGAGATGTATTTCCGGGGGGTTCCGTGGTGCCTCCAGACGTTCCGGTAGTAGAGCCGAGCGGCTCCGACCGCGCCAAGGCCGGTGTGGCACTCGTTGAAATGGGCCCGCTTACCCAGGACGTCGACTACGACCATGACCGCGTCGAACCCGTGCGCGTCTGGGAGCTCGACGATGAAGTCCACCGAGATGGTGTCCCAACGTTCTTCCGGGATTTCGGTCGGGTGGAGCTCTCCGTGGGGCAGCTTCCGAAGCGCCTTCGTCCGGTTGCATGGATCGCAGGTCCGGACGTATTGGCCGACGTGACGGGACAGCTGGGGCCACCAGTAATTCCGGGAGATGAGCTCGAGGGTTTTGAAGCGTCCGGCGTGTCCGGCGACCCGGGTGTCGTGGTGCAGGGCGATGATTCGGCGCCGGAGGTCCTTATTCCGCGGTACGACGACCTTACCGCGGTAGTAAAGGAGCCCTTCTGCGACACGCCACTCGGACGACCGGGGGGGGCGGACGTTCCGGTTCTTGAGGAGTTCTCGCGCGACAAGCGCGACGGGGTCCTCAAGGTCCGGCTCACCCGTGAAGGCCTCCCGGACGTCACGAAGGAGGGGGACCTCGGGTCCGGCCACCACGACACCTTCCAGTGCGCGGACGTGGAACAAGTCCGGGCGAAGAAGGGTAACGTCCGTGTTGTCCGAGCCCACTCCGTGGTCCGGACGGCGGGACAGCGCGTCCGGACGGCCCATGAGGCGTCCGGGCTGGTGGTGGAGCGCGAAGTCAAACCGGGACAGGTACAGGGACCACCGCGCCTGCCTCCGGTTCAAGTTCTGCGCCTTCCGGAAGTACTCCAAGTTTTTGTGGTCCGTCCAGATCTCGACCGGGTGCTGCGTACCTTCGAGGAAGTGTCGCCACTCCTCTAAGGCCCGGATGATCGCAAGCATCTCCTTGTCATGGATCTCGTAGTTGCGCTGGACGTCACTCAGACTTTTGGAGTAAAACGCGACCGGATGCCACTTCCCGTTCGCGTCCGGCTGAGACAGGACGGCTCCGGTGGCGTAGTCGGAGCTGTCCGCCTCGACCCGGTATGGACGCGACTCGGGCTTGGAAGGCGGCAGCCGCGGCAGCGGTCCAGGTCCAAGCGACGCTCTTCTTGGTGAGGTCGAAGAGGGGCCGCGCGATGTCCGAGAAAGCCCGGATGAATCTCCGGTAGAAGTTCGTGAAGCCGAGGAACTGCTGCACGTCCTTCCGGTTCTCCGGAGCCGGCCAGGCGGCGACTCCGGCGACCTTGACCGGGTCCATCTCGACGTGGTTGTGCGAGATGATGACGCCGAGGTACTCGATCGACGACTTCTCGAACTCGCACTTCTCCGGCCGGAGGTAAAGCTTGTGCGCCCGGAGCCGCCGGAGGACTTCTCGGACGATCTCTCGGTGGCGCGCGAGATCGGAGTGAGCGATGAGGATGTCGTCAAGGTATACCATGACGTCTCCGGACAGGATGAGGTCTTGGAAGATGTCGTTCATCATCGTCTGGAACGTGGCCGGGGAGTTGGTGAGGCCGAAGTACATCACCAGGGGCTCGAAGAGTCCTCGGTTGGTACGGAACGCGGCCTTCCACTCGTCGCCTCCCCGGATCCGGACGTTGTTGAAGCCCCACCGGACGTCGAGTTTTGTGAAGAACCGGGCTCCCTTTAGGCGGTTAATGAGGTCGTTAATCAGCGGGAGCGGGTATCGGTTCTTCACGGTCATCGCGTTGAGCGCTCGGTAGTCCTGGACGAACCGGAGGCTTCCGTCCTTCTTCTTGATGAAGAAGACCGGAGACGCCATCGGGGACTTGGACGGACGGATCCGGCCGGTGCTCAGCCCATCCTCGATGAACGCGTCGAGTTCCTTCTGCTCGAGGGGGAGATCGGGTAGACCTTGCAGTTGGCCGGCTTTGCGTCCGGGACGAGTTCGATGGCGTGGTCCCACGTCCGGCGCTCCGGTAACGCGTCGAACGACTCCTTGTCAAAGACGTCGGAGAAGTCTTCGACCCAGGTCGGAACCGAGGTCCCAGGCGGGGCCGAGTTCCGGGCGAAGGCCTCCGCGAGCCGTTGGGAGACGGTGCTCCCGGCGCGGATTTCCTCGGCCGGAGCGAACGCGGTGTAGAGGATCCGGTTGCCTCCTTCTAGCTCGTCATCGTCGTCTTCGTCCGGGTCCGGAGTGAGGTCCGGACAGTCGTCTCCGTCGCCATCCGGATCGTACCCGTCGTCTCCGTACCACTCCTCCGAGTCGATGGCACAGATAGACGGGACGGGACCTTCGCGGAGCTGTCGGAGGATCGCGGCGGAGATCTTCGCGCTGCGACGGACGGCGCGAAGCTCGTCTCGGCAGGTGCTGCAGCTGGTCGGGCAGCGGGTCATCCGGACTTCCTTGGTTTCCCAGTCGATCTCCGGGTTGTGTTTCTGAAGCCAGGAGTAACCGAGGATGACGTGCTGCTTCCCGAGCCGCGTCACGGCGAGTTGGATGCGTTCCGAGTGACCCTTGTAGTTGACGACCATATCGACTACGCCCGTAATGCCTCCGGATGCATTGGGTGTGCCGTCGACGTTGAGGACCGGGATAGGCTGGGAGAGCTTCCAGACGGGAAGGTTGCGGGAGATCACGTACTCCGAGTCAATGAAGTCTCCGGTCGCTCCGCAGTCGACCAGACCTTTCACAGACACCTTAGCCGCGGTTTCTACCGACTGCATCTCTAACGGAATGTGCAGGGAGTTCCGGCCCTCCACGGAATCAATAACGTACTGCCGGGGCAGTTTGCGTTCCCATCTCGGACGGTGGACGCGGGGAATGGAAGGGGTTTTTGCCTCCGGGGCGGGAATAGGGGGCTCCGGCCGGGGGGCGGAAACCGGAGCAGGGGGTGCGTCTTTCGTTTCAACTGCTGATTTATTGGGTATATCTTTGTACAGGCAGGAGTAACGATTAGGGGACGCGACCGAGGGCGCACCGCTCACTCGACCGCGTCCGGAAAACCCTCCGGCTCCGCGTCTCCGGCGTCCGGCTCGGTCGGAAGCCCGGCGGTAGTAGAGAGGCGCGCGAAGAGCTCTCCGAGGAGGTCGTCTCCGAGTTGACGGACGACCTCGTCCAGGACGTCTGCGTGCCGGACGTCCGAGGGAGTCGGGCAGTCTCGGGCGAGGTGTCCGGACGCACCGCAG